TGTTCTTGCCATCTTCCATACAACTTCCATGAATTTCTTTTGAAATATGATTCCTTTGTGTCAGCTGTATCTTTATTGATCAGCTCTATCTTTATTGATCAGGGCTGCACGATAAAGCCTTAATGCTGAGATGATAATGTAAATTTGGATTGTGGCTACCACTATACCCACTGACCTACCCGCAGCCATTGTGTAAAAGCCTGTAGGAGGATGCAGGGAGGTGTCCCTGCAGTAGCATAGATGGAACATCTGATTGCATCAGGCATGAGAATAACTGTATGTACAGAATGTATTCATCCCTCAGGCACATATCCATATGTTTGCATGATGGTGGGTGTTTTTTAAAGTTACTGTTTTAAAGATATCCACACAGGTGGCTAACAAGCATTTGTTAGATGGCACAGCATGAATGCTGAAGCAATCTGACCACTCGTGGGTGAGGAATAGAAGGAGAAGCAGTGCCGGGTGTGCAAGCTTTTCTGGATAATGGCTATTTGCCTTAAGAAATAAAGGACTATTTTTTTCCAGTTAGCTTTGGGGAAGTGCACAGGGCTGTGTGGAGGCTGACAGCAGGCTTTTGTTTCAGAGAAAGCAAAAGCCCCACTGGGTAGAGGCACTATAGAAAAGCAAACGATGGATTATTTTTTCTTTTACAAACCCTATCTCATGCCTGGGTGCAAAGTGTTATTTTCTTTGTCATTCAAAGGAAATTTAAAAGAAGACGTAAGCTTTTGGGGAGGAGAAGGCAGTGTGGTTTTTTGTTCTATTTTTTTGTCAATGGAAATATACGTTGAGTGCAGAGTGTCCCATTGCAGAACAACTCTGATGAGCAACAGAATGAGGTTGCACTGTCCCAGAGGTTGGGCAGCTGGTTTGCAAAGGCCATGGGCTCACCAGAGAGGCACAGTTTTGCACCACTTCTTTATGGGATGAGAAGAGCTTTCCCCTGTGGCCAGCCAGCTTCTCCAGGTTTCGTTTCCTCCCTCCATTTCACAGTTGTGGGAGCATCCCCTCCAGGAAGACTGCTTCATTGTACTGGCAGTCACTTCGAGGAGAGCAGATGTTGTTGGTGTATGTCCAGAAGCCAGTTTCAATCCACAGCCTTCTCTAGGTCTAAGTTTGCTCAGTGCAGAGGAAGCAATTAACACCAAATGCAGGTGGGTCACTAATTGTAAAGGAGATTTCCTAGGGACAAACTGTTCTGAGGAACCTTTCCTCCTGAAGCAGTAAAGGCAGTCACTGAGTTGAAGGAGACCCATCCTTTATTTCTGGACAGTTGCTGAGAATAAAAACACTGTCAGTAAAAAGCCTCTAATCCCTTTCTCACCAGGCATCTTGTCCAAATGCTGCTGGAGCCATGTAGTAAACAGAATTTCTTCAGACCACCCCACAACTTCTCCATCACATCTCCAGCAAGCACGCTGTCATCACAACTTTTTGTTACATCTAAAAGATTTGCGCCAGTGTTCGCTGAGGAAAACAATCCTAGCGTAGGTTTTCTGGCTCATTAGCTGCAAGTCTGTAAGGGCATGAGTGACGTACAAGAGAAGTTAATTAAAAGAGCTATTGCTGTGAGGAAGGAATAAATACTGGTGGTCATACAGGGTGGGAGTGGGACTCTGCTAATATTCATATTGAGTTATAACTGGGATATATAGAGGTCTAAGCCAAATATTAGCATCAGAACCTCCCATATGCTGAGGGAGTTGTCAGCTGGTGAAGCCAGAAAAACAGAATGGGACCAAGACTTTGACTCATAATGTCACCATGAATCCCTCACCGAGGTGATCTGCACCAAGCACATCTGTGTGTTGTGAACGGGGAATTGTACAGCCTGTAATATTTTTAACCTGAAGCTATTTGGAAGCGGGTCTGGCCAGCACTCGGCTGTAAAGACAGCAATTGTCTATCACAATTTGCTTCAAATATAATTGAAACTTGAGAAAAAATTAGTACAGCTAGGCTGATGCTATCAAAATAACTGCAAAAAAGTTAAAAATACAGTAAAAACCCCCAACCAAACAAAAACCACCTGGCTTTCTGTTGAAAAGCTGTGGCGTTCCATGTGGAATTTTGGAAATGACTGAGTGATGCTCTGGTTCCTTTGTCTGCCAACTCTCTCGGCTGCAGTATGGGTGGCTTCTGTGTGGACTGTGCAGGCAGATCTGGTGCCCCTTTGGAGAACTCACTATTTCCAACCTTATGACCTCATGCTATTGAGCTGTAGTGTATGTGGGTGGTCTTTCATAATCATTACTGAAATGACACCTTATGCAAGCACACACACGTTCACCTGCACACATCATGGGCTGTGCATCATTTTTCCATCTTGTGTTTTTGGTCATTTTGGGAATACCTTCCACTGTGGGCTCTGAGTCATTCTATTCTTTTGCCATCTCTGAGCGATGTTTACACTGTGTTATGCTGAGAAGCCCCTTAAATCTTTACATACACCCTCACACGCACATGCAGACAGTCCGGCATTATCAGACTCCATGGTGAGGATGTTCACATCTCTTCTCATTAGCGATGTGCAATGTAAAAGGCTTGCTTCGAGTTTCTTGAAGACGGCAGTAATGAAGCTCTGAAGAAATAGTCAGGGGACTGGAGCTAATTAAAATGCAGCAGGGTGTAGAAGTAAAGGTAGCAGCAGCTCTCTATGCCATGTCTCTGGCAATCAGCAGTCCCTAGTTTACCCACACTAATTGACAGGAGACGCAGTGCTACCGAGTGTGCACACAGCCAGCGTTAATGGAGTCAGCACATACTGCTCTTCCTGCCTGACTTGTCTCATTATCGACCTTGAACTGGCAAAGGTCAGTTGATGGTGCTGCTTTCATCAAGATGACAGGTGTCTGAAGATCTTCTCTTTGTAGTATAATAATTTGGCAGTTGTCTTATCCTGTACGTGAATTAGTGATCTGATCCCGAAGAGATGATGGATAAAAAAGACTGGCTTACTGTGGTGAGGAGCTGGGCTGTTGTGTGTTTGAAAAAATAGCAGGTACCAAAAGTCATGGAGGAAGGAAACAAAGCTATGTGTTGCATATTTCCCCTTGGAGAAGATAGGGCCTGAAGCAGCAAATAGGCAGATTTTCACAGGTGGAAATGCAATCAGCCCACTGTTAAAAATCGGGAGCTTGTTTGAGTTGATGATGAGCACCAGGTGCACCGCTGGCACCAGGCAAATTTATAATAATAATAACAATAACAACAATAGTCGGGGCACCTGACACCTGCAGTAAGCAGTGAGTGACAGTGTTCTTGGGGAGACATCTCATCCGAAGGCAGCGCTGTCTCCAGGAGATGCATCATTATAACATGCTGCACCAGGGCTGCATCTAATATGCCCTCCTTGTTTTCACTCTTTTGTTACAGATGGTCTCAGCAAAGACAGTGGAGACTGACAGAAATATTTCTGCCATCCACCCCTTGAAAAACAGTGCTTTTGAGCATTTTTAAGAAATATTTTAGCTTTTCTGAAAGAAAACCAGAAGCTTCCTGTGTCTTGTGGCTCCACTGGTTGCAAGCAGAGCTTGCCGGGGCCTTGCATCTCCTTTCCTCTCCCACTTCACTTGTGCAAGGTGTATGTAAAGATGTTGCATGCTGCCGCAGTGGCATTTGGCCACTTGCTTGTAGGTACAAACAGGGGTGAATCAGGGCCTAGAGATGGGAGGGGTCCATATTCCTGAGCAGTGCAGACAGAAAACGCTTCTTGAAGAGCTGAAGGGAAGTCTTGGTGGTGACTGACTTTGTGACGGTACTAGCCTGAGTTTTTATTGGCTAAAACAGGGAGAGATTAAGTTAGTGGGAGCCCAGATATGCAAAGCAGAACCTGCAAAAGGACTCCTTCAAAAAGGCTCCTGCTCCCTGGTCTCAGTGTGGCCCCACATCTAGCTCCTGAGCAGCTCTTGTGCCCAGCCTTGCTATGGCCTCAACTGAGGGCAATGGGAAGTGCTGGTCCTCAGGCTACAGTGCCTTTCTGGAGGAAGATGAGGCGGTTGCAACCCTCACCAGAGCTGAGGAGGGGAATGCAAACTGAGCACAGCTTCTCTTTTCTTCACCTGCAGTTTCCCAGGATCTTCTTATAATATCCACCTCTGAAAGCAACTGCTCTTTGCTAGTATAATTACCAGAATATTTCTTCATTTATGTGTGATTATGGGGAGCTGAAATATTGCCTTGGGAACAAAATACTCTGTAACTTGAACACAATTTATAGCAGCTTGCCTTTTAAAGATACATGAAAAAACATATGTGTGATGTCTGTATGGCTGCAGTCCAGCTATAAAGATAGAAGACCAGGAGATTTTTACCAGGGCAAGCCTAAGGTGACTAATAGGAGCATTCTTTGAATTGAAAAATGTCTTTGTTATTGAGCCTTCTCAATCTGACACATTTTCTCAGCTGCCTCTGAGGTAACTGCCAAGTATATGGGATGCTCCTGGTCTCTATCCTCCCAGTACCTGCACTGGTGCTGCAAAATCCCCCAGGCTTCCCACAGTCCCTCAGTGCCTGTCCCACAGGCTGCTTGCTCTCTGCCCTCAGTGCTATATCCACTTTACCATGTCAGGATACACTCTCCTCCTCTGGGGACACGAGAGCAAGCCCCCACCGTTGTGCTGGGTTGTGAAAGCAATTGTAAATTAAATGTTAAAAAAGCATTGCCTAAGTGCATCCTGAGATCAATAAAATATGCAAGCATGGGCTCCTGCTGTTCAGGGCTGCAGCAGTCTCTAACCCAGAACTAGGGGGCCTGGAGGAGCACGTCAGGGCTACTCTAAGTGGCAGCTGATAGGAATCTACATTAATGCAACAGGTAGGGCTCATAGGTCTGTACCCAGAGGTCCCGGGGTCAGGTGCTAGCTATGACAGGATTCTCAGGAGGTGCCTGTCTGAAAAAGCAATGATAAAGAAGTAGTGATAAAGGGAACTCCAGCAATTAAGGTTTTATACCTGGGTGAACTCTTTCTAACATCATGTTCTTTTTTGTTTTGCAGAAGAGGATCTATCCCTTTCTTACCCTAGCAAGGAGACAATCAATAATAGAAGTGAAAAATGAGGAGTGACCATTTTTCTTTTGCTGGGGAAAGAGAGATGCTCCTATCCAATCCAAAGACAAATAAGATGGATTTATGGATCATTTGTTTTTGAAATTAAAAGCTCTGCTTGTGCTGCTGAAACCATGGTTTCATGGCATAACAACATGGTTGGACAATAGTTTCTTCCTCCTACCAATGGAAACAGTGGTGAGTAGAGCATTAATATGCATGTGGGAAGTACAACATGACAGCTATGACAAATACATGGTTGCATTTGCCTGTTGGATCAACCTCAGTTACTGTTAACTCCCAGGTTATCGAAGTAAAGGAACAAGGTGGATTTTTGCTGCTTTCTTATTGTCTTTGTTGGGAAGGATTGGCTAGGTCCCAGACGCTGAATACTCTGGGAATGCCAGTTTGCAATATACCAGTATTAAGGCACCATTGAAATTTCTAAGGATGGAAGTATTTGATTTAAATCAGAGGCATCTGGGAATGTTTGTGGCTCACAAGAACATTTGCGTTATGAACATTTGTGTCAGTGATTTGAAATCTTAAGTGTTTTGTCCCTGTCTTTTCTCTGCGTGTGTGAAGGTGCAGGCAGGGAAGTCAGGACTGAAATGCAAAGTGGCCTCTGATGTGACAGCTTTCCTAAAGGGTGTTGGGTGAAGTGTCCTCAGAGATCCGAGGCCAGTTTGTTTTCTCTGAGGAGGGAGGAACAAAGCCCATTAACAGGAAAGCTATATGTGTGAAAGGAACCAGAGCTTTTGAGAGACAGAAATGCAGCAGCTCTCCCACCGAATCAGGCATACATTTCAAGCAGAAACCACTGTTAAGGCTGAGATGAAACTGAACTTACAGCTGTGCTAGGGCCTCTTTAGCTGACTTCAGCTTCTCTGAAGTGGGACCAGTGGGTGGCTGTGGGGCAGGATGGAGATGACCAGATGGGAGCAGTGAGTGTTGTTTGCACAACACTGGATGCTCCTTTATGTGACTCTGAGGTGGGCTGAAAGTCTGGAAGGGACCTAAGGTTGATTGAGAAGGAGTTTTCTGGTGAGAGAAACAAATGTTTTCATCAGGGGTTGGGACATGGCAAGTGGGAGAGAGTAGCAGGAGGTGCCAGAGGAAAGGATACCTTGCTGGGAATACAAAACTTAGAATTTGGAAAGGGGCTTTTTTTTCTGATCATCCAGCTAGTGTGTTGCATTAATGCAACAGACACCTGAGCTGGGAGAAAGCTCTTGACTCCTACGAAGCTCCTGGGGTATCTGAGAAAGCAAAAAGGAAAGGCCTGAAAAGGGGGAAAAACATCTTTTCCCCTTCTTTCTGGCTTGCAATTCGCTGGGAAAATGACTTCTGTGTTTGGGTAGGGGTTTGGCCACTCCTGAAAGTTTCTTTTGCCTCAGAACAGGTTTCTTGGGTGGATGCAGGAACCGGTGGATGCTTCTCTCTAACCTGTGTTACGTGGGAGGTCAGACCACATGAGCATTCAGGTCCCTTCTGGCTTAAGTATGTCAAGCATTGTCCCTTCAGCTGTTTACACAGAGAAAAAGGCTAGAGTAAACTTTGTCCCCATGTTCTTGTCTCCCCCAGTGATCCTGAGATTTTTCCCTCTTCTCGTTACCCCTGTGGGGACATAAATTGTCATCAAAACTCTTTGTAGGTCTAAGGATTCCTGGAGGAGGCCAGGTGTCTTGAGGATGCAGTTCACATGGTGCTCCTACTTTCATTGTCTTTGTTTCCCAGCAGTTAAGGCCTTTTGTTTTACAGCATCTCTTAGCTCCAATTTATACAATATAAATTAAATGTTTTAATTGGAAAGCCGGTCCCTTCTATCTCACAGCTGCTCTGGTCAGATAGTCAGCTGCTGCTACCATGCTAGTCATGGCATTATTAACAGTTAATGTCCAGGAAATTACACTTGTCCAGGTGCGCTGCCTTGGGATGTGAATCAATCTTGTCTTTAGACCACTTCAGAAAACCTATTATCCACACTCCAGAAGGACGATTCTTTTTCCAGCTCTTTCTGACACCCTTCCCTAGAAAATCCTGAATGTATGCTTTGTTTTGCACTGATTTGGAGCAGCATGGAGGCTTGTCTGAATTTTCACACTGTCCTTCAAAAGAAGCGGCTGTGTCTTCACATTCTTCTGTTAGACCAGAAACTCTCTCTTCTTTTTCAGTCATAGCTTGAAAATTCTTGTTTCCTGAGAGATTATTGTCAATATTTCTCAAGAATTTGATTCATATAATTTTTGATTTAACAACTGGAAATAGCTAAGTCCTGAAAACCAATTTATTTTCTAATCTCGAAAGAGCTTAGAGAAAAATGTGCTGAGAGGACAATGAGTACCGTTCTTATATCTTGTTTGGTTTGGTGTCAGGTCCTCTATTAATCATCATCAACACAGCATAGCAGAAATGTTTAGCGCACCAAAAGACTAAGAATTTAGTGGAAAACTTTCTAAAATTTTATGCCTCACTTTACTCTGAGATAGTAATCTGATATGCACGTTTTCTATCCATTATTATGTCATAGAAAACACAAGGAATGTGTAAGGAAAAAAATAAATAGAAGGAGACAGATAGAGGAACCCGCAGTGTGCTTCAGCAGTATGTATGCTGTTTGGATCTGTGATTAGCTCCAGGATCACTGATGGTGATGATCTGAAGCAGTGCAGGAGGCGAGTGTGTGCTCAGCATTTTCAGGAGCTCAAGGCAAAGCCATGATGAAGACCAGGCTGCAGCAGGGGAAGTGGTGAGGAAACACCTTTCTAAGAACTTCACATGCAGAAACACCATTGAAGTTTTCTCAAAGAGGATTGGGTTTTTTGATCATCCCTTACACTTAACCAGAGGGAGAGGAAATATTACTATCTGGCTCAGAGAATGGACTTGCTTGACTCTGTGCAAACCTGAATTCACAAGACACCAACACAGCTTTACAAATCCAAAAAATTTCATCATTCTTATCTTCAGATAAGAATTAGAATGAGATTTATTTTTTCCTGTTTGCCCATTGCTGCCTAAAACCTAATACCAAGAAAGTAATTTTAGCAATTGATTTGTTATTTTTTATTTCTTTTTGTCATTCCAGCACATGTGTTGTTTTGTGGTCTGGTTTTTCTTCTGCATTTCCCATTTCCATGAGTTTTGGTCTCTTATATAATGGCATAATCAAGCCAATGGAAAAGGTAATGTTTCTTTTCTGTGTGCTGCATTTGAATAAAACTAAGGCCATGACAGAAAAGCAGATGAGACCTAGGGAATACATAGATCATCTGAAAACCTTTAAGAAAGTCATCACTGCAAATATTTGCAGATGATGAAGCACTGAATATTTTTATATGGATGGCTTACCTATTTTCCAGATTCCAGAGTTCTGGTTCTTGTGGCTAGCCTTTGTGCTTATGTCAGTATCTTCTTTGCTTTTTATATATATATATATATAGTGATCCATTTGGGTGATCCAAAGCCAAATAAAGTCAGCAGCGGTATTTCCATTAATTTTATTCTATGTTCGTAGCATATTCAGTAGTTTGGAATCTGATCTTCTGTATTTGCAATGCAAAAAAAAGTGCTTCTGTGCCTATAACCTATTTCTTCTTCCTGAACCTCTTTTAGTTACTTTATTCTTTTTGGGGAAAAAAAAACCCAACACCTATCTGTCTTCTGGCTTAATATATTTTTAATAAGGAAATCATTGTTATACCTGGATGCAAAAAAACCTGAACGTATTTTCTGTGATAAAGGCTTAAAGGAAATAGAAATAGGTATTAAAAGTTAACTGACTGCACTAAATAATTACAAGGAGTGTCAATGATTTTCCTGATATACAGCTGCACCCAGTCTTTGAAGAAAATCATTCAGTTTCAAAATAAGAGTTTCTAGTTCTGCCTAGTTCCTCCCATGCTCCGTGCCTGATGCTGGAACTAGATGCAGAAAGATGGAAATACTGGGAAGGAAAATGGCACCTCTGGGAAGCACTTCTTGGTTATGTATGAACTGCCAGGAAAAGGTACTCGTGAGATTACATCCAGGGGATTTGCACCCTTAATCTATTTAAATTACAGAAGAATGGTGAGAGTTTAAGGGATCTTATTGTATCTCAGCCTATGAATTTCTCATATTCCCACTGCTACTAATAATCACATATGCAGAGAGTAGTTTATTATAGCTACAGTCTGATCCTAAGTTCATATCCGGGCTTCATCATTCATTTGCAAAACATCAGCCTGAGGCATCCTCTCCACTTTCCTGTAACTGAAATGAGTCCCTTTTTCCCATTCAAGAGTGAAAACAAGCAAAAAGGAGGAGAAGATACAAGAGGAGATGTTTGGTTTCTCTCCATTACCCTGTGAGACACATTTGTATTTAGAATTCGGGTTCTTCCCCATTTTTCTCAGAAGGGGAGCTACCAGGAAGGGAAAGGAGAGACACTTGTTCAGTCTGGTCTGTGTCCTATGGAAACGTGTGACTGGATTAACTCTTCCAAACTGTAAGCAAAGAGGAAAGCCAGGTGCTTTTATTTCTAGCCAGTCAGCCTGGCCACAGTTCAATTCTAACAGAAATGCATCTTCTGCCTTGTCATAAAGCAAATTAATTGTGATACACTGATATGCTGAAAGTAGTAGAGAGAGTTCAAAACAGCCCTTATAGAAAAGGACTATCTAGTCCAAGATGGCAATTTCTTTGTCATTGTGGCAGACACCTGCCTTAAAGGAAGTAGCTGCTTCCTTTAACTAGACCAACACCAGAGACACCATGGCTTGACCTATTAGGACCATGCTAGCTTAGCAAAACTAGGAACAACCTAGCTAGCTATGATGCGTCCTTACCTCTGTGGTTTTTAGCATGTGCCTTGTTAGACTTTGATTTTGTCCACCAGCTGTTCTCTTACAGCAATCTGGAGATAAAAGTTCATGCCACAAGAGTTTGTTTCTTGAAGCTCTTTCCAGAGTCAGTGAGAATCGAAGGTAGATGTGTGTCTCCAAAACCCACTCATAAAGAAGTTGCTATTTAGCATCCAGTTCTGCCACCCTGACCCTTACGTTATCTTCTTCTGCTTTCGCTAAGCCCTCTCATTAATTCCTGATAATCTAGTGGCTAATATACACTCAGTGCAAGTAATAATGGCAGAACTAAATTTAAAGAAGAGGATTGAAAGTCATGAGAGAGACAGGGAGAGAAAAACAGAAGAAATAGTTTTGATGTATGTGTGGTGCAGTCTTTCTTTTGCGGTAATGAACACCTGAGTGTCTCACTACTGTGTTTAGACAAGACCACAGAGACCAGTGGTAACTCTTTAGTGGGGGTAAACTGAGAGCAGAGAGCCCATTT